TTTTTGACAGGGTCTCACTCTCTGTCTCCCAGGCTGGAGCGCAGTGGTGCCATCTTGGCTCACTACAACCTCCACCTCCCAGGGTCAAGAAATTCTCCTACTTTAGCCTTCTGAGTAGCTAGGACTATAGGTGCATGCCACCACACCCGGCTAATTTTTATTTTAGTAGAGACGGGGTTTCGCCATGTAGGCTAGACTAGTCTCAAACTCCTGACCTCAAGTAATCCACCCGCCTCAACCTCCCAAACTGCTAGAATTGCAGGCGAGAGTCACCACGCCCTGCCACTATTTTACCTCTTCTTTTGGGCTCTCTTTAACCTTACAGAATTACATGTACTTAGGCATTTATCTCTTAGGGAGTAATTTTTTATCCCCTTAGCGATTTCTAAGTACATGAAATGTGAAGGCTTTTAATCTTCCAAAACTTCTAGACATGTCTGCCTTGACCTATTGTTATCTGGGAATGGGCATGTCAGCCATCCTTGAAGGAAACATTTGCTACATATCATCACAATGCTTCTTTCCTTACCACCTGTCTTTGTGGACGGCATGTTTGCCCTCGGGCAGCTCTTTGACTAATTCTAATGTCTCGGTGTAGCCCTCATCTGTTCATAGCAGGGATGCTAGAGTAGGTATCAGACATGAGCACGGCTGGAGAGGGCCTCCCACTCAACCAGGAAGGTCAGGTGGCCATCAGGTGAAGGTTAGGTGGTTGCTAAACTCTCTCTCACTCTAAAATAATGATTGGTCGCAGCTGGCACCAAGGAAATGTGGTTCCCAATAGACAGAAACACCTGAAACTGGTGATCAGCCACTTCCCCGTAAGATCTCAGGAGTTGGGTGAGTGGGCTCAAGCATGAGCACTCAGAGGCAAAATGGTGGCGTTCAACTGGTATAAGACCTACCTCTGGGAATGTTCCACTGCTAAGGGCAACACCGCTTAAGGTAAGCATGTGTACAACTTCAATAAACACTGCGCATGCGGCCCTTCCCAAGTGATGGCAGGCCACTGGGCATGCAGATAGCCCACCCCAATGAAAGAATCAGAAGAGAAGTAATATAACCCCTTTTATGTGCCAACATATAAAAGCCCAGGTCAAAGATCAAACCATGCACTTGAATCTCTCAATTAGCCTGCTTGGTCATCTTCCAAGTGTACTTTACTTTCATTCCTGCTGTAATTTTTTATTTTTTAAACAGAGTCTTACTCTGTCACGCAGGCTGGAGTGTAATGGTGCTCTCTGTTCACTGCAACTTCCACCTCCCAGGTTCAAGTGATTCTCCTGCCTCAGCCTCCCAAGTAGCTGGGATTACAGGCGTATGCCACCAC